ACTAAAGATTTTTGCATGTTCCCAGAATGAAATATTGTCCCATGGTATTCATTGGCGGCCATCTTGTCGGCCATCTTGAATTTTTGAAAAAGTTGATGTTAATTATCTCAAAGTACAATAACTTCCACCGTTTTGAGAATTGAAAGCTGTAAGTGGTACCAAAATGAAGCTATTATAGTATCCTATATTATCAGATGCAATAATTATGCAAATTCTCTCATTTGAATAAAATGTGACATCATCAATCATAATTCTTGCCTCTTCACACCGGTATCGCATTATACCTTTTTGCATGAGTGATCAGTCTTAATCATTCATGAACATAAATGAATTTAAATATATAGATACATTAATTTTGAACATATATGCAATCGAAAGTTTTGAAAAAACATTGTCAGACTCATGATTATGTTACTGAAAAGGGGCGTGGCACTTGTGAGAGAATTGATGTTAATCATTTCAAAGTACAATAACTTCCAAGTTTTGAGAGTTGAAAGCTGTTAATGGTACCAAACTGAAGGTATCACAATATCCTACATTATAAGATACGATAATTATGTAAATTACCATATTTGCATAAAATATGATATCATCAATCATTATTTTTGCCCTTTTTCAACGGTAATGCATATTGCCTTTTCCTCTGAGTGACCAGTCTTGGTCTCTCATGAATATATAAAAGATATTAAATGTATACATTCATTTTGAACATATTTGCAATTGAATTTTTGAACATATTTGCATTGAAAGTTTCAGAAAAACATTGTCAGAAATTAAGGTATGACCTTTCAAATGATTATTGTTCTGAAAAGGGGCGTGGATCTTGTTGAAAATCTGTAATGTTATTATATAGTCAATGTATCATCTGTAAAATTCCCAGGGGTTCACTGAATACACAATTCTGTAGGGGTCCTAGGCAGAGCCCTCAGATATCATTATGTTCCCATACCAATCTGTCGAATTTCAATGTGTTCCCATACCAACCAAAATAACGCCCAAAAGCCATACCAAATATCAAAATATAAGACCAATGCTATACCAAATGTCCAAATATAGGACTAATGCCATTCCAAATATCCCAAAAATATAAGACCAAGAGAATGCAAAATGTCTAAAGCCCCTAGAAGAAGGCAGAACTTTTAGGAAAATGATCCAAAAACAACCTCAAATTAAGGACATTTGTAAAAACTAGACCAATCCCGTACTACAAATGGTAACATATTCTCCATAACCATTCTTGTACCATGAAGTAGAAAAATGCGACCATTGTCATACCTCAAAAGTCATAGTTTTGGGACATTCTCATTCCAGATCCTAAAATTTGGATCCATTGCCATACCAAGTGTTAAAAGAGGGACCCCTGTCAAGGTTTATATACAGTGAACCCCCCGGGTGTAAAATATAGCTTTTAACTTTTAGAAAGTAGCCCAGTGATGTCCCTTATTCCTAGCTTGTTCAGATATTCTTGTTTGTCTGTTTGGCAGACATTTAAATTTCAGCCAAAGATATTATAATCTATCGCTTTTGGACTAAGTACTATACAGATACGAATGACCACATATCCCCATATCATTTTAGGATAGGCAATGAACTGAAATGGGTACCCACAGTATTTAGTTGTTAAAGCTATATAATTAACTCAATATGCATTAAGCCTCTACCTCAGTCCAATGTTTTATCCAAGACATCCGACTGGACTCTCAACTGACCTCTTCCAGAAACTCAGTGCTGATGTCAAAACACAGTAGGACCTCATCTTCAATGAGCTCACAGTACCTTCAGAAGACCAGGGTTCTCACCAGGAAATTTTTAGACCCTGATTTTAAGCGGTATTGTGACTACTTTTTTTGCAGTATTGCGACTACTTCTCCCCCATGGGAGATCAGAAATATCCTATAAGTATACTTTTCAACATATTTCTTAAGATTATCTTGCTATGTTAATCTCAATATTTATTTCTAAAAGGTTTCTGACTTCCCATTCCTTGTTTGTATCCAGTTTTATGAATTTTCTCACGAGTTTTACCACAAATAATGTGACAAAAATGTAAGATTAGTCTCCGGAAAAAACACTTAAGACTCCGGAAAAGCTATTAGACTCTGGAGCAAGAGGGTTTTAAGACATCTCCGGAGTCTAAAAGCCTAGTGAGAACCCTGAAGACCAACTAAAATATATCATCAGCTTAAAAATCCAAGACCTATCAAGACAAGAGGGTGGTATGCAGTTATGCACCAAATAGAAGTGGGAGGCAGAGCCCAGCCTCTTCACTATGCTACCTCTTGTCCAAGTTAGAACAATTTCCATCCCAGATGCGAGGACAAGGAGTGGAGGAATTATCTAGTAAAAAGATCAGAGAGCTCCAACAGATGCTTCTTAAGAGAGTACTTTGTCTTAGTCATCCAAAGATTCTGATTCTTCTTCCAAAGATAGAAACACTCAGGAAAAGAGACGCGTAGGACCAGAAAGAAATTCTTTGAAAATCACTATAGGCTCACATCAAACTTGTTAGGAAACCAAAGAGTGCCCATATGGCATGTACACAGGATCAAGCAGAAGCAAATACTTTGGCAGCACAGAGTGACCCATATCGAGAGATGCCATTGGATAATTTTCCAATTGACATCCCACCAGATTCATCATCAAAACCGTTTGACTAGTCAAATTTCAAGCTTGAGGAGGTAAGAACAATCATCAGGAAGGCTCAGCCCCAGGTCCAACAGGTGTGACATACAGGGTGTACAAGAACTGCGGTAAGCTGTTAATACATCTATGGCAATTGCTAACAAGCATCCAGAACAAGAACATTCTAGCAAGGACTTGGGCTTCGGCGGAGAGGTGCTTCATTCCAAAGTAGCTAAAATTTGAGGGACTGAACCAGTTCAGGTAGACATCATTATTGGATGCTGAGGGAAAGATCTTCTGGGCCATTGTGGTCCAGCCTCGCAGTTATTTCCTACTGGCCTGCCAAGCATTCAGAAAAGTGGTATCCCAAGACATCAAGGGTGTATATAGCAGCAATAAGCCAACTTGTGAAGGAAGCCAAGAAAGAGAATCAGTTAGTTTGGCTGGACCTAAGGACTACCTAGTGTCCCTTACCAACTGATATTAGAGGTACAAGTACACTTGCACATACCAAAACCAACAGAATATATAAGCACAAATGCCAAAGGGAAGAGTGACTAAAAACTTTAAAGAAACTCAACAAGAAAAGCAAACTGTAAGTATAAATCTGTCATAAGAAAAGTAGACCCTATATATCCCAAAACCATGATCTAATGTGAAAAGAAACAATGTCTAACATCCCCCTCCCCCCTCCAATCGAGAACCAATATAACAATCTAGGACCAGAACACCAAGGGACATTTCATTCATACTGAAGTCATTACAATACATGTTGAAGAAAAATTGAAAATATTGATAGCCAATACTCATAACATCAAAAATAGTTGTAGATACTAGTTCTGTAGTCAATCTGACAATGGAACACAGACTCCTTGAAGTTGCACAATACATTTGGCAATTATACCACTAATTAGCAGAGTTCAGAGAAAGTAATAGTGGCAGACTCCACTGTACCAGTAGTTCTCTTCGTAACATCCATGAACCTACTGCTCAAGGCAGGGATGATGCAGTGTAAGGTTCCACAAGCAAATGAAGGTGCGAAACACCTACCATACAGAGCTTTCATGGATGACATCACAGTTATGACCAGTTCAGTAGTGGGTACCAGATGGGTTCTATTAGCCATGGAAAGAATGGCAAACTGGACTTGCATGAAGTTAAAAAAACAACCAGGTCAAGAAGCATGGTTTTGGTTGATGGCAAGCTTTCTCCAATGCAGTTCAAAATAAAGGGCAAGCAAATACCAACAGTGCAAGATAAAATAATTAAATGTCTAGAGAAGAAATATGACAAAACCTTGCGTGGTTTGAACAATACAGATGGAAGTCTCAAGGGACAAGTGGCTTAAAGTCATTGACTCAAGTCATATATCAGTGACCTTTCCAGATTTATGACATTACCTGGGAACCCTCACTTCTCAGCACTTCTTGAAATGGAATGACCTTTGGTCCATGAACCAAGGGGAGCTCAATTTCTTATTAAGAGCTTTCCCTGACCTGGTCTCAACTCCATCAAACCTCAGACTTTGGGGCAAGGAAGAACCGCCAACTGCCCCAAGTACATGGCAACTGAATGACACATACATTAAATCATATACTCAGTATTTGGATTACAGCTCCCACTGATGGACAATACAGATGGCGTCATGATTGAAGCTGAGGATGCCCATACTTTGATCTGGGCCTATCTTCAATATCTATCTTGCGTTTCTTTGATCTGGGCATTATTAACCGCTACCACTTCTAACATGTCTCATCAGATCGGCTTTTGCATATGTGACAATAAAATAGCCTGACTTGTATTGTGCTGTCATATTGGAATTACACTATCATAATGAACACTTCATGTACTTGTAAGCAGTGCACACAAGCTTCTAAATTTGGCCAACAGTTCACCAATAAGCAACATTGGGCTCTATCTACATGACTCTGCTAGAGCAGTTTCAGCCTCTGAAGTTGACATTAGTGTTTAGAACAATTTGAACAATAAGTGCCAACCTCCCCCCTTTTCAGTTTCATAATCGTGTGAAGTGTCAAGACTTAATTTCTTACAAAGTTTTTCCAAAATTTCATTTGCAAATATATTTGCAAATTAATGTACCTATATATTCAAAATCATAAATGCTCATGAATAACCAAGACTGTTACCCAGAGGGAGAGATATTGGTCGTTACCATTGAAAAAAGTCAAAAATGATAGCGGTTGTCATATATTATGCAAATGGGAAAATTTGCATAATTATTGCATTTTTTATTAGTATATTATATTAGCTCCATTTTGGTACCACTTACAGCTTTCAATTCTCAAAACTTTGAAAGTTATTGTACTTTGAAATGATTAAAATCAACTCTTTCTCAAGAAGTGCCACGCCCCAGATAGCACAACTCTGATGGGCCAACGTTGGCCCAACAACTACGTATCTGTTGGCCCAACGTTGGCTGTCGTGGTTGGCCCACCGTCGCTATGTCCATCGGTCCAACGTTGGTCCACCGTCGCTATGTTCATTGGCCCAACGTTGGTCCATTGTTGGCCCAACACGATTTCAAGCTACGTTGGCCCATAGTTGGCCCACTAATAGTAAGAAGACTGGTTGGCCCGACGTTGGTCAACAGTTGGTCCGACAATTTTAAGAGGGATGTTGGCGCATTGGCGGTCAAAACTGGTTGGCCCAACGTTGGTCAACAGTTGGGCCAACTTTGGCCCAACGATTACGTATATGTTGGTCCAACGTTGGCTGTCGTGGTTGGCCCACCGTCGCTATGTCCATCGGTCCAACGTTGGTCCACCGTCGCTATGTCCATTGGCCCAACGTTGGTCCATTGTTGGCCCGACACGATTTCAAGCTACATTGGTCCATTGTTGGGCCAACCACTGTTGACACAATTTACTTTTTTGTACAGCCATTGTTGGCTCCCTGGGCAGCCAACGACAGGCCACATGAATAATTTGCCAACTGCAACCTTGAGAACCAATGGTCACCGATAGCGACGTTGACCCAACGTCTTTGTGCTATCTAGGCATTCAGTACTGCCACTGTAAATGTGTTCACATATTATATCCGTTTTTCATCAATAAAATATGGTGGCTTGTTTTTCCATACTAAATATATTTGGTAGCCTTATAAGTGGTTTCAACTGTATTACAAGGCGAAAATCCATATTTTTGAGGTGAACAACATTATCAGATAATTTTGAAAGAAAATATTACAAAAATTTACCTTAATTTTTTTTAATGACAGCTGGTATGTTTTCTTCTATTTTTAAGCATTTGCAATGATTTATCGATAGGTGGCTTCCTGGTATTAGCGGCAGCCAACAACGGGCCAACGTTGGCCCAACTACAATTTGCCAACTGCAATTTTGCACTGATCGATAGGTCCCAGATAGCACATCGCCAATGGGCCAACGTTGGGCCAACAACTACGCATCTGTTGGCCCAACGTCGGCTTGAGCGGTTGACCCAACGTCATTTTGTCCAGCGGGCCAACGTTGGTCCAACAGTGGCAAAAAATTATATTGGCCCAACGTTGGTCCAATGTTGGCACAGATAGCACACCGCCAGTGGGCCAACTTCGGGCCAACAACTACGCATCTGTTGGCCCAACGTCGGCTTGAGCGGTTGACCCAACGTCATTTTGTCCAGCGGGCCAACGTTGGTCCAACAGTGGCAAAAAATTATATTGGCCCAACGTTGGTCCAATGTTGGCACAGATAGCACACCGCCAGTGGGCCAACTTCGGGCCAACAACTACGCATCTGTTGGCCCAACGTCGGCTTGAGCGGTTGACCCAACGTCATTTTGTCCAGCGGGCCAACGTTGGTCCAACTATAATTACACATAATTTGGAGCCAACAGAAGTGTGACTTGCAGACCTGAAAATAACGTCGGCCCAACGTTATAGTTCCGCCCTAAAATTGCTAACTTCGGACCTGATATCATTGTCGGCCCAACGTTCTACCGACCCTAAAATTGTGTCAATTACCAACGTGGTACCAACGTTGGCCCAACGTTAGTGTACCACCCTAAAATTACTATAATTTGGGGCTAACAGAAGTGTGATTTGCCGACCTGAAAATAACGTCGGCCCAACGTTATAGTTCCGCCCTAAAATTGCTAACTTCGGACCGAAATAGACACGCTGCTTGCCAACCTTGCACCGACATCGGTACAACGTCAGCGTACAGCCGTAAAATTGCTGACTTCAAGCCAACAGAAAAGTGTACCTTGACGACCTCGTACCAACGTCGGCCCAACGTCAAAGTACCGCCCTAAAATTGCTAACTTCAGACCGAAAAAGATGTGTCATTTGCCAACCTTGTACCGACGTCGGTACAACGTGAGCTTACAGCCGTAGAATTGCCGACTTCAGGCCAACGGAGAAGTGTGCCTTGACAACCTTGAACCAACGTCGGCCCAACGTCAAGGTACCGACGTAAAATTGCCGACGTTGGGCCAACAAAGACGTGCTATCTGGGGCCCCTTTTCAGTAACATACTCATGTGAAGTGTTATTACTGAGTGTCTGACAATATTTTTCCAAAACTTTCAATTGCAAATATGTTCAAAATTAATGTACCTATATATTTAAATTCGTTTATGTTCTTGGATGACTAAGACTGGTTACCCAGGCAGCAAGGTATTGTGCGATACCGTTGTAAAGAGGCAAAAATTATGATTAATGATGTCACATTTTATGCAAATGAGACTATTTGCATAATTATTACATCTTATAATATGGGATACTATAATAGCTTCATTTTGGTACCACTTACAGCTTTCAATTCTCAAAACTGTGGAAGTTATTGTACTTTGAGATAATTAACATCGACTCTTTAAAATATTCAAGATGGCCGACAAAATGGCCGCCAATGGATACCATGGGACAATATTTCATTCTGGGAACATGCAAAAATCTTTAGTATGGACCTTTAGGATTACAAAAATGTACATTAAAAAAATACATCTTTCGGGTGCATGGGAACCCCTCCTTCCTACCCGTCTATAGGTCCCATGTAAGAATCCAAATGTTATTTTTCATGACTTCAAAAATTGTTTTAGACTTTTTTCCAAAAAGTCAAAAATAACTTGTGGGTCTTTAAATTTTTACTATTCCAATATTTTAATATCTTACCATTCAAGCAGCAATTTTACGTATATCATCAAATATAAACTGTTTTTGTCGTATAATCTGCATATTATTCCCTGAAAATGCCAACAACTGGGACTTTCTTTCTAATTCCCGGAGGTGTATAATATGCAGAGGTCAGATGTTCCTAATGTCATGAAAAGTCCTTGAAAAATGAAGCGAGTTTGAACATTAGAGATTATTAGGCATACTTATTGATTGCAGACATTTTGAATTGAAGTGTGCAAACTGCAACCAGGCTCCGAGTGACCCTGAGGTCTGTTTTGGTACAATCGTAAATTACATTTCCAAGAAAACCATTGTCTACCTTTTGACGAACAATGACTTGCGGCCAAATCAGACCCCTGACTCGTATTGGTTAAGAGTCTAGTTGCAGTTTACACAGACCCATTTTGAATGTGATAAATTAAAAGTCAGAAGGGAGTGAACATCCTGTCACAAAATATAAGAATAATTAATGGGGATATCGAACACTATCGTACTGTGCTTTTCCTCTGTAATCCTGACTGGGACCTTCAAATGTCATCAATGTGCTCTCACAACAGAAAAGCTTAAGATTACAGGGTAAACAAATTGTCAATGAGCTGAGCTGTCTCACAAAGAACCTAGATGATACTTTCACATACAGATGATACTTTCACATACAGATGATACTTTCATATACAGTGAAACCTGTCTTAGTTAACACCTCTCTCTAGTGAACACCTGTGTTTAGAGAACACCACTTCAAGACAAATTTTATATTGGCTCCTGCATAAAATACTCTCCCTGTAGTGAAAACCTACTTACAAAGAACAATTTTTTTGTGGCAGGATAAGTGTTCACTATATACAGGTTTTACTGTATAGTCAATTTCATAAGATGTAACATTATGAGGGGGTGACATATTAATGCTGCATTTATTGTGACACATATTTGTCATTAAATTTAATATCATAATCAATATTCACAATGAAAATAGGCCATTTTGGCTATATAAAAAACTTTCTTACAGGGTATAATCACATACAATCAAACAAACAAACAAACAAACAAACAAACAAACAAAAAGAAGTGTATAGTTTTGAGCAAGTTTATTGCTGTGACATTATACAGACTTCACAGTAAAGTATAGCATATAGTGACACATGACCTACTACATTATAATCATGATGATGATGACATACCAATGCTTCATATCTTGGCTTGAGATGTGGACCTTAACATGCCAATTGTTCTACATATTCATAGAAGTGTTATCTCCAATTTTAGAACTTCGTTTAACACTACAATTGTTTAAAAAGGGCCATGTCTATGATTCCAATTTCAAATTACCAAATTTTTACTTTGTTATTCTGATTCTGAAATTAGTAATTCTTCCTTTATAAGGATATGTCCTTTATAGGACTGATAGACTATTATTACACATCTTTTCTGAAAGGTAAGGCAAGTAAGCCATTCGACTGCATGAAATCGTTCAGGTCTGTAACCATGACATATAGTGTATGCAATATGTATAAAAGTTAAAGATTTCATTATAAGTACTTCTTGAACTTGCGTATTAGTACATGAAAACTACTAACTTGTTTACAGTACACTCCCAAACTCCCCTACCAAGATATTTAAATGTATCTTAACAATACAACTTATTATTGCTGCATTTCATTTCACTGTAATCAACACATGGCAATAATAGTTTTAGTTTTGCAACAAGACTGGATACCCCACCTTATCTTCTGCTGTAAAGTGAATAGGAGGGGGGTCCATGTTATTGAAGCAAGACTATAATAGGTTAATTTGAGTTCATGATTTTAATTTACTATCCTCATCTCCAAAAGACAAGATACGAAAGTTCATCTTTCTGGATGTTGTTTGTTAAAGAGACTATGCATCTTGGAAATGAACTCACTAATAAGCTCAGCTGTAAAATTGTAAACTGGTATATTTTTCATTTTTTCCACCAAATGTCAGGAAATTTTGAAAATTCTATTGTTTAATTGTTTATGCTTCATTTTGAAGTTATTTTCTCTGTTCATATTTCATGTTTTCACTGATCATTCATGTTTTCTAGATTTATAAGCGTGTGCATCTCATGACAAAATACAACATGGTGGAATAATAACACATGCTCCCAGGAGAAATAGCCTCTTTAACAAGATATGTATAAAGCATGTAGGGCATCAAACACCTAAGTAATTTAAAAATAAAGGTACTGCACTATATATCTATAATATGCACTATTCTTTTTCATAAAAATAAACTTTTAAACAGCTTACTATCATCACTTTAATACATCAACCAGGTGATATCAGACACCTCCTGAAATACATGAATATACTGTATACATGAATTCTATGAGCAGGGTGTACAATTGAAGTATGTGTGCCCAGATTCCATAACCTGTCATGTATACCCCATCCTCTATTTACAAATATATCACTGGATTGTAAATCAAATGTGTGTTACCAAAAGTGAAGTAATTCATTCATACTCACAGTCTATTAATATACTCAACAGTTGGCATTGGAAATTACTTTATTCCAGTGGGTTTAACATGTGTTAGCTGGGATATATTTAGACAACTGTCAGTTATTTTTGGATAGCATATTGTGAGGCTCTGAATCTTAACATCTTAATACATCTAATTAATATTTTAAATACTTTACATACTGAGCAATTATCTGTACTCCTGTTTGAATCAAACTGGCAAGCAGATTGGACACATTCACAATATAGGATTATTCCAGTTCAAAATGATGTAAATAAAATTATCAAGGAGTACAACGCCTCATTAATATTTTTATTCCAGACTCATTTTTCCCCTTCCACATAAGGATATAACACTATTGAATTGATAATTCAATTCCACGAATATCATTTTCCCTGGGAAATATCAGAAAAATCAATACTTTAAGATCCTATGTCATGTATGTCCAATCTGTATCCAATTACATGTATGAATTAGAATCAGTATGGTTATTGATGGTCAGGAAGGAATATGGAATCACTGTTAGGTCAATATGACATAATCCCCAGAAAATATCAAATTGACACTTGAGATTTAAAAGCTCTCAATTAATATGATATTTTCCTCAGTCAAAATCATATTCCTTCCATCTTATTAAATAACCTCCATATAATCTACATCTAAATGATTTATAAATACATTTGCATGAAAAAGCTCCCCAATAAAGCATTTCACCTACTATATACCACTAAAAAGCTCATGGTAACATCGAAAGCATATCACATATTTTTGTTGAACAACAACGGACTACACAATAATCATTAATATAATAATAATATATCTATAATAATATATAAACATTTTAAACTTCAATAATATTTACAAGAGACAAAGTCAATATTTCAATGTTATCAACAAAGTATATTGTTATATTTACTATTTTATTTATCTTATTTATTTAATATATTATTACTATGACAACTGCCCTGCCTCCACAAAAATGCCAAAATTTTTTTATTTATATAGTTCTTTTAAAACTGAGTCGCCTCTTTTTAAAAATCTATGAAGGCTAATTAATTGTATTGGAGTTTTGCCCATTCCCCAAAGGTAATTATGTTTGTGGGTATACATTGATATATTGACCTTTTCTCTAGGATTATAAGCGTTTCAATGATATTGCATTACTTCACATATAGAGCTCAACAATCTCACAGAATACAATGTAGGGGGATTACTGCGTACGTGCATTATGAATCTATACCTAAATTAATGAAGTAAATCTGGGCAATAACAAAAAAACATATTGAAATTGTCTTGACAAGGAGGAAGAAAGGAAAACAAGGCAGGCATTAACATGCAAAATTTCACCAGCCATTTGTTACAGTCACCAAGGGTCAGACGCTAACCGTCATTGGAGACCATAACACTATGTCACCACTTTTGACAAAAAATGAAAGCAGAGTATAATTTTCAATAAATGCTTCTCTTATCTGATTCTCCCAACAGAGGCGCATAATTGTCTCCAGTGACCAAAAGTGAATTAATAAATATTGATAAACCTGATTCTAAGAGGCACTTTAATCAACAGACAGGAACTTAGATTGCGTGTGTTGTTGATAGTTATAGCAAGGCATTAACAAGCAAAATGTCATCACCTACCATTTGTTACAGATGGTGGTGATGTAAAAATGAGAAATTATATTCAATTAAAGGTTATATAGAAAATAAAATTAAAAAACGACTTGTACTTATAGTTCAGCTACATTGGCCTTGGAGACAGCAATAAATGAATAAAATTATATTTTACATAAATATTGAATAAAATCCTTTTTTGCTGAACCAATTGTTTGTTTATTCTATAATTGTACAATCTCATTATTTTTTTAATCCCATTTTATTTTCACACTGAGTGAGTTTTGAAGACCAATCTCCCCTAAGTTTCACTAAATGTTGCATTTCTATTTCTCCGAAGTATTCATATGAAAAGCTTATAATGATAGTATGATGACAAATATAATATAATATGTCACATTCATTTACATTTAACATTTCAATAGTTTGTATTTGAGCTTTCAAGGAGGTAATTTCCCAAGCAACCTTCATTTTGGTGCATTATGGGAAATCCACCCTTTGTGGTAACAACTAAATCTACCTGAGATAGAATATTCGATAAAAGAAAATGTGCTCGTACATTGTACTACAAGTTGCTGGTCCACATCACATGCTTAGCTTAAGATGCATAGAGATTTACAGACAATGCCAATGACTATCAGTATCACATTGCTAGAGATAGAGAACGAATACCAATTTTAGAGCCACTTTGAGTTAAAAGATAATTTATTTATTTAATGAATCAATCTAAGCTATCACCGGTGCAGAATGTTGTTAGTTGGCATTAGTAACGTAAATCTGAAGACATCTATACAATTTATATTATGTATATTAGGTCTAGATCCCTATACAATATGTATTTTAGGTCTAAATCGCTATACAATATGTATAGTAGGTCTAGATCCCTATACAATATGTATTTAAGGTCTAGATCCTTATACAATATGTATAGTAGGTCTACATCCCTATACAATATGTATATTAGGACTAGATACCTATACAATATGTATTTTAGGTCAAGATGCCTATACATTATATATTTTAGGGCAAGATGCCTATACATTATGTATTTAAGGTCTTGCTAAACTGAGGTATATACTACATGTGCGCCTAAGCATCATTTGTAAGCTAACCTGCAGCTAATCACAAAATAACTGTTTTCAGTTCATAATATTTTGTACAACAATCTTACTAATACTTGAGCATCACAGTTATTTACATTTACAACTGGGACCTAACTCTGGATAAAAATAAGACATGGGCTTGTGGTGATTTTTTGATGGATTCCATTCATTTTATTTTTTTAACAGTAAAGCCTCAGTTACATTTGTTCTACAGCAGCTGTTGCTTCACAAAATCGATATTTAAAATCTACATCATACTGCTTATCCCTTTATTTAAAGCTGCACGTTTCTGACAATTTTGGGAAGCTATGGCCGCCATATAGCAGCAGATCAAATGTGACCGGGGCATTAGTTGTGACTGTTAATTTTAGAGGATATCCATCTCTATAAAATCATATTATTAAAGACCGGGTGGATGTATATAAACATTCTACATCTAATCTATTTTGTTGGGCCAATTTGTTAATTCAAAAGTAAAAAAACATTGTTGAGAGCCCACAAAATAAATTTCCCACTTCCAAAATTACCGCAAGTGGGGAGTGAGGCATTTATAAATGATCTATGTTTAGAAGTAGTACGTAACATTTTGGAGATTACCCCTGAGGGATTTCTACTTCATTAATTATCTCATTCCACTCTGAATCAGCCTGGATGCAGCTTTTGTCCCCTAGAGAAAAAATTTCAATTCAGCTGTTCAAATTCAGCCACATATCAATAGGGAGAACTTCAATTCTTAAATGGAGACAGCTAAGCCATGTAGTCTATCCTCAAAGAACATATGTTGCAATTTCTATCCATTGTAATACATGTATTAATTCCGGCTCAATCCTTATAATTATATACATGTATGTAAGTTATGCTTGGGCAAGTAAACTGTTTAGCCTTTTAGTCTTTTTAATAAAGACCAAGAATGCTTAGTGTGTTATATAGTTGCCAAAGCCTGTATATCCTGGTCTGTGATGTTCTTTCAATTGTGAGGTACAGGAGGGAGGGAGGGAGGGAGGGAGGGAGGGGGAGGTGCAAGAGTATCATACAATATATACAACATGTTAAACAATTATATATACATTCACCTCTCTGAGCCAGTATCATGTCAAATTAGGCCAATGTCATGTCACATTGAAGCCAATGTTATGTCACATTGCAGGCCAATGTCATGTCACATTGAAGCCAATGTTATGTCACATTGCAGACCAATATTATGTCACTTTGCAGGCCAATGTCATGTCACATTGAAGCCAATGTTATGTCACATTACAGGCCAATGTTATGTCACATTGCAGACAAATGTCAGGTGTCCGCATATGCCAGTATGCCACCTTATAGAAACCTGAGAACACTTCCTCCACTTTTCATTTCATTTTCTTTCCAAATTTATTTAAAACTCAATTTCTCAAGTTCTTTCTGGGACTTCCATTCAGCTGTTGTGGCTATATAAACTTGGTAATCCTTGATATGGTTTGCCAGTAAGGGTTTAACAGAGCATAAAGTATGGTTGAATATGGGGATTTATCAATGTGCTGGTGTTCAAAGTTATGCTATTTATCCTTAACAGACAATTAGTTCAGTTCCATATGTATGTACATGTAGTCTTATGTTGTACAGAAATCTCATACATCGATGAATACAATATGCCTCTTGTTAAGTAGCTCCTCAAAGGCCTGGAGAAAGGTGGTTTTTAAGGGCCTACCCGCATTTAGAAACTTAGCTGGCTTTATGTGCCTGAAACATGGGACTAGCTGCCATTTAAAAGCCATAGTAAGTCCCACTTAATTCAAGCCCTGAGATGACGTTCAGAGTCACACATCAAGTGTTCCAGTGACTATAATGAGCTTGGGGTTGACACAGAGGAGTTACTAGGGCAAGGTGATGAGATATTTGATATTGGGGAGTGGACGTCAAAAGCTGCAGCCTCTGCCTCTGCCTGACTCTCCTCCTGTTGCCTAGCAACCTCATCAACGTCAAAATATTCATTTAATAGAGGTGGGAATGAGCCACGAGATACCTTCAGGGCTAATAGAACTTCGGAGTGTTCTACACTTAACGCACGTAAATCTGTTAGTTTCATAATAAGTTTGGCATATATCTGCTTAATATCTTTATGCTTCACTTTACTGTAACGTTCTAGTGTGCGCAAGTAAACTTCCTGAACATCCTCTACTGCCTTTTTATTCTTCAGTCCGTGACGTTCTGAAATGTAATATTTATAATAATATAAAGATTATTGAAACACTCATCCATATTCATATCAATTAATTTCAAAGAGTATTATTTGAAGGCTGTAATTCTCATATTTAATACCTTAAAATATTTTTGATTTATTACGATATGTAACTTTATAGACAATCAATAGATTTGGACACAAACCCTTTTTCTATAATTTTTGAAGCTTAAAAATTTGAAATTGAGAAACTGGGTAGCTACTATAATGGTAGGACTGTGGAAATCCAGTTTTCCTACTCTAATAAGAGTAGCATACGAGATGTCATATACAAATATACAGGAAGGCTGTTGTAAGACAAGTGATAAATTGAAGTGACACATAACAAAGAAGGCAATAATACCTGAGAATATTGAGATCCCCATCAAGAGTGCGTACTCTGCATTGTCAATTTTCATCATTGCCATTCTACGGCAAAAATCATACATAGAATCTACATGATTTGAAAGTCCAGCATATCGCAGAGCATTTCTTGTCATTGGTGATCCATTGGCAAATACGACAGTGTCTGTTTCAAGGTCATATCGTCGACCTGTCCGGAGCACCATAACTTCAGATGCTGAACCCTGAAATGTAAAACAAGCATTAGAATTTCTAAAATATGAACACAAATGTAGAATACAATTATCTCAAAGTGAGGAGAAAGACTTAACAGTATGAAATGATAGAAGCAAAACTTAAAAAAAGATTTTTTTTCTGAAATAATATTGAGCTATTTGATAAAATATATGAATGTTAATAGTTTTTAAAAGATTTAAGACAAAGAAATCTCCAAATCTTTGAAAAGAGATATTTTACATCAATTTTTTTGCCAGATAATCTTAAAAAGTATCATCCTGAAATATATACATGTAGTCAGATCAGTTGGTGTAACATAGAATGATCTCGTAGATCAGAAAATATAATCATAACTTGTCTCTTGAACATAAATGTGACATGAATATTTCTTCTATCATATTCTATGTTTATTCTATTGACTTTCTACTTCAAAGTATTTCATTCAAGGACTTAGATTGCTTTATGGGAATACTAAATGAGATAATGACCCTTCTAAGGACATGAGACAACTAATAAAACAGCAGAAACTAAAGAAGCCGCAACAAAATAAGAGGGAAGTCTACAAACGAACGCTTTTTATGTAACATTGATAGGAAAATCTGGAAAGTCTCATCCCATATAAGAGAAAAATATTAAGATGTAATGAGATCAAATTACTGTACAAGTTATTGCCAAAGATATGGAATATCTAAATTCCCTTTGCGACATAATTACAAGCGCCAATAGTAAAAGGAAGTAATATGTAGTAATAGGTAGTCATTTTACTTTTCATGATTTCATCAAAAATGCTCTATAGATGGGAAATCTACCAAATCTAAGAATTTTATTTAGAAACATAAATCTTTAAAACACTTTCTAGATGTCAGCAGATTTGAAATATGTTTTCACTTTGACTATAAAAGTATATTATAAAAGAGTGGCCTTAAAACAGACATGTTATTGCTATTTTATACAAAAAGGGAATATGAGCCCTTAGCACAGAATTTCATTCTGTGTTTTCATTAACCTTGAATAGATACTGCACTGTAACACTGTACTAGATCAAACTGGACGTGACTTAAATATAATTATATTACTTTTACATTCTGTTTCCCGAGGTATGTTTAACCATACAATATGTATACAGAGAGATACAAAAACACAACCAATGGATAAAAACATTCACCATAAGTTTCAAAAATTGGTTTGAAAAGTACTTGGAATTTGGATTCAATGAACCTCAACAATCAACATGTTAAGACTGGCAGTTTCAATTGCAAAAGTTTAAATCTAAAAAAGTTTCTCATTTTAAACCTGATTTCATTAATCAATATCACTAAGCTTAATGCTGCACTGAATCTACAAGAATGAAGAAGGTCATCATACAAATGAAATGTATTTCATGAATTATGTCTTTTACTACCTCAACATATCAATTCTGATTCCTCAAGTAAATTCTCATGAGCAATATTTGCTGAATTTGTCATGAAAAGGGAAACAGAATGACATTCAAAATGGATGCCATAATTCAAAAAAACTTTAAAAAATATTCAACTCTACTCATAGGCCTTGCATCCAACATATATGAGACATACCTTGAGCAATATTATCTGGTCTTCCTTGGCCAGCGTGGTGAAACCAGGAATTCTTTTGGCAAATTCTACAATCAGCTGGGTGGTGAGAATCGTCATTTCAGCCATTTCAGAATAGACAGCTTCAGTTAGGTTATTGTCTTCAGTCCTTCTTTGTTCACTGGCCTCCTGGATGACAAAAAGCACAATTTTAGAATATTATAGGCTCCTATCATTCTTTGTCATGATTATTATTAAAAAATCCCCCTAGTGCATACTTTATTAGAAGAAAACTAAAGATTCTTACAATAACATGTTTATTTCTCTATAAATGTGTTTACCATATTTCTATTTATTAAGAAGCATGTAGACATTTGTGGCAAATTGAGCACTTCAAATCTTGAATAACTTCAACAATTGACAACATATCATGGATCTTTTGGAAGATATTATGTTTGAGATGGTAGAGAATATACTCGTATGGAGAGGCTCTAAGGAACAACTCACTACATGGGACAGTTTACAAAAGAAGAGTCCCATTAACTAAGATTTTCATGTAAAAGAACCCTGTCTACATGGAACATTTTGGCTAGTACAGAGAATATCCCGCAAACACAGGTTTTACTGTATATGTATTTTGGTGTCTATTTTTTGTGATGTAACTTTTCACAAATACTTTATATGCAATACATAAATCACACATGTGATGATTGGGATGTATAGTTTAACAAAAGTTTAATTGTTTATACAGGGACAGGTAAACCTGAATAAATAAACAAGTATTTCATATTTTGAAAACTGCAAGTTTTTCTGCATGAAAAAGGAATCATGAAATACTGGAATAAAATGTTGTCATAAATTTTCTTATTACTTAATTCTAATTATACTGTATATGTATTATGCAATACAGGTAGTATGATAATTAAATCACTATCACTAAATGCCAACCTTAAAGAATTTAATAGTAAACAACTCTCTTACAGACTTAATAACCCCACTGTCTCGAAGGAATATTAATTTTGTATTATCTAACTTACAACTAATACGATCTTATTACAATGTATTATTGCCAAGGTACATCGAGGACACGGACTGCTTAAATAATTTACTTTCTTATATCATTTCCTTGGGTTGTAAAAAGATCTGAGCTTCAAAAGATGTCTTACACATAAGTTAAGGCTGAATGAATGGTGTTTATCAACAATGTTCACAATTTTATGATATGAACTTGAGTCACATCATATCAGAAGTGTTTACATTAGAGGTATTCTTAAATTAGATGTGTTCTCCCATAAAATGGGTGTTTATTTTAGATACAATTCACATTACAAAATATATAAGAGAGATGTTTATTTAAGAGAAGTGTTTAGGGGGGGGGGGGTGATTGCATTAGGTAGGTGATTGTACTAGTGTTCACATAAAAGAGTTTTTGTTTTTTTCAGAGGTGTTCACAGTTGAGACATAGATAGATTTTCATATTACAGAGGTATTTGCATTGTTGCCATAAAACTTACTGTAATTTTGCTGAAAGTCATGGCATTTAAGTAATCGGAAATTGGCTCTATTTATCAAAATAATGCCTGGAATAGCTGTAAGTACCCTCTAAAGGACAATCATCGTTCAGGTATAATGATAAATCACTATTTTAGGTCAAGCTAAGAACATAGAAAGTGTATTAGTTTGGATCAATGATAAAAACCACATACATGTTTATTGTCTTGTTTCCAGACTTTGAATGAGGGCAGCAGCTTAAATTCAATTCAAGGATACAATACTTGAGTGCACTAAATCATGCACAATTTAATGAGTGATTTGCTTAAATTCTTTTCACACATTACAAAATCATTTGTCTGGTATCTCTTTAAAGAATGATTTTAGTGAGGAAGCTTTTTTGCAAAGTTTGAAAAGTTTGATCTTTTGATATTTTGACCTGCATTTCTTCTGATTCTATGGTATTTATATTTTTACTCAACTGCCGACTTGAAATTATAATGGGTAATCAATTTCATTGAATCTAAAAGTATCCCTATTCCCTATATATTAGTAACCCATTGGATAATTGAATATGTTCAACTGAATAAGCTCACTATACCTTTATAAGAGTAACATTGCAAAATTTTGGCGAAAATAAAGTCCAAAAGTCTACAAGTAAGTAGGTAAAAACAATTAAATGGTGCTACAATGTTAATAATAACATCCCAAATGCCTGGGTCACATTTGCTCCGATCCATCGGCCGGCGCCCGGCCGATTGAGTGTTTTGTTCAATATTGTATTCAATTTTGAACAAAATACTCAATCGCCCAGGCGCCGTAGTGAAAATCGGAGCAAATGTGACCAAGGCATAAAGCACTTGTCTTACATGCACTTTTATTCTTTGACATACTGTTACTGTGACATGATCCTAATTACATGTACTCCCAGTCTCATAATTATAACATGATGCCAATATATAATAAGCCATCATATTTCAACTGAGTAGCATTAAGATGTTAATATGTATGATTAGTAATACTATATTTTTTTCTTATATCACCAATTAGTGTTAAACCTACCAGCAGTATGAAGCATATCATAGCCCTTTTAGAAGAAAAGATTTGTATATGACGTTTTGAAAGAAATAAACAAAAAGGGGAAAACATTTCACATTCCATAAAAAACTAGATAACGGCAACTCCGCGGAGTAGCAAATCCCAACGAACAAAATATAAATTACCGAATTCCAATCAATTATACTCATTACTTTGGTTGAAAATGAAAAAATTAGATTTTAGAATTGCGAATTCCTGCAAAGCAGCCATTTTGAATTTTCTGAGGTACAAATCTGAAAAATAATACCATAATTGTGATCTACTCCAAAATTCCTTCAATTTGAGTATAATATAGCCATACTTTGAAGGGATCGAAAAATTATTGCTTAATCGTACATTAAACGGCCATTTTGAATTTTACGAGGCTCGAATCAGAAAAAAAGATACAATATTTGCAATCTACTCTTAATTGCCTTTCATTTGAGTATAATAAAGCTATACTTCAGAAAGATCTAAAAATTAGCGAAAATTTCTGTTTTCCTGTCCCCCCATACATGGCCCCTGGGGGTCAGGATGAAAAACACGGAATATATGTGAAATAGATAACCTTTTTTCTTCATACTTAAGTGAACGTAGAGTACGAACAAAAGTAAACTCAGATTTCTCTATCTGGTCTCAAATAGGATACATAAACTCTGGAGTTCCTCAGGGATCCATTCTTGGACCGATTTTCTTTCTAATGTACATAAATGACCTTCCAGATATTCTAGACTCCACATGTTTCATTTATGCTGATGACACTTCGATTTATGCTCAAGTGTCCTATAATGATAATACTACACTCTCTCACAATATACTCCAGTCTGATCTAAATAAAATACATTTGTGGTCAAATAAATGGAAAATGAAATTTAAGCCTAGTAAAACGAGAGAGGTAATCTTTAAAAAGCCAAGAGCAAAGTTAAGAAATTACCAACCCCTTTTCTTAAATAATGACCAAATTCAGAGAGTCCATAGTCACAAACACCTGGGAATCATTCTTGATGAACATCTAAATTTTGAGGAACACATCAATGCCATTGTTTTGAAAACTAGCAAAATGCTCAATCCACTTCTGTTTCTAAAGTCAAAAATTTCATCAAAACACTTGGAGACAATGTATACATCATTTATCCTTCCTCATTTAGAACAAGGCTCAACTTTTATTGACTCCTCCTCAAGAGTCCATATTGAAAAGCTCAATAGAATTCACTATCGTGCTGCACTTATAGTTTCAGGTGCTATCACCGGATCAAATTTTGACAAAGTTTTACAAGCCTTGGGATGGAAATCCTTACTTGAGCGTAGACAGGAAAAGAAGGCAATATTAATGTTCAAAGTCAACAGAGAAATGGTCCCCACCTATGTTCAAGATATATACACACCTCTTTTAAACCCAGCTTATCACACTACCCTACCACGTGACCACGTTTAAAAGGGAAACAGGGTACAGCTAAGTTGCAAATGGAGGGCGTGGGTTTAATTCCATATTTCTGAACGTAAAATACATTTTACATTTATTTTTAGTGTTCTACCAGACATAGAATTGATTCATCAAGCAGTTTGTAGAATATTGTTGGCAAAAAACCACTATAGGCAAAGATAGATAATAGTGGGCGCAGTGAAGCAAAACTTAATGCAATACACGATACATTTCAGTAAATCTGTCAACGTACAGGGAGCATGTAAGTTTCCCTTCGAAAATGTTACATTAATATGTAATTAAACCCCAGTTAACTGTTATTTAAACTGCTTGTCTTCGTGTTATATGTGGATACGTTTTCCAGTATGTTATTCAACTGTACTTTTGTGAATTAATTGTTTTTCTAAAATCTTAAGATGCAAAATAGTCATCCCAGAAATGTATCTTTACTTTGCCGTAAGGCATAACATATTGTGAAACATTTTTCCTCTTGTCACAAGGAGGATAATGTTTGTTTCGAGGTGTCTTGTGATGAGCGTTTCATGATTAAATGCAAAATCACTGGAGCAGATACCATCCAAAAACATCTGACATTCAACACGTCATATAAAACTACATCGATCTGGTATTAGTTTTTTTTACAATAATAGAGAAATACGACGTCATATCACCTCTACAGCAAATCGTGAAGAACAAAATGTCGTGGCATGATGGTATTTTGAACAAACTATTTTAAATGATCGGTTTTTTAGAACGGTAGTGAATTAGACCATTCAAGGGGTTATATAGAAAGATTCCTGATAGCCAATAGTCATTTATCACTTACGTGTTTATATTTAATTTCGTTATTTTATTTCAATTTGATACCCTAGTAACACGTATAATCTAGCGTTCTTGTTAATTTAATGACTAAAATGCATTTACGACCTGAAAGCCCGTGTCTAAATCTACTAAATAATGTTTACTTTATTTGGATTAAATAACAATTGATGACACCTCAAAGCATCAACAGGCGGCCTTTTTAGTATTATTTTCACTGTTTGCAACGTAAATATACATGAGATCGGGACATAGTATGTCTGTATAATCAGCTTACTTTCTCGCTCCCTGTACTATTGAACAATTTACATTCCTTGTACCCTGTATTGATCAACTTTTGCAGCTGTGTACCGTGTACTATGACATATCAAATATTTTA